GTTGCTTATTGTGGTTACACTAGACAAGCCAGGTCTGCAAGATGAGAGTTTGAAGCAAATATTAGCAGAAATTTTCTAAATGTTATTGAGGGATAGATAGAGAGTAGGGACGTGAAAGATCACCACTACCTAGTCAGCAGGATTTTTTTTGTTAGATCAAAGTTCTATTTTCTTTTTCTTTTTTCATTCAACAGATTGAAAAACAAAAAAACTCACCATCAGAAAGATATCCCTATTTTTTGACCAACTAAATGTTTCCAAGAAATTATCAACCCACAAAGCTATATAATAAATCAAGAAGCAATAGTTCTCACTGACATTTATCCACGTTGGTGAGTCCAATCCTGTTGTATAGCAAAATTAACTTTTCACAAAGGTTAATGGACAAAAGCTAACAACAGGACTTGTATCAAATGTTGATAAATTTATAAAAACAACTGGCACAAATTGAATTTTAGGGACCCAAATAAAGTTCATCCCAGATTTGAAGGATTGAGTGATGTAATTTACACTTTTTTTATATTTGATCTGAAAAAACAATGCTTGAGTTGCATGCTCGTACTCAAATCAGTGTAGGTTTTCCTGCATGTACTCATCCTGAACTTGGTTAACAGGTACATCACTACTTCAGCTTAAGTGGGTCAAATAAGCACAAAAGCCCTGAAAATACCAACCATATCTAGAGTCTGATACCATTCAAAACCAAAAAACGTTAGATTTACCCTTTAAAGAGAAACTGTCTCTTAATTCCCTAGATAGTGCATGTACAAGGTCAAAACTTACTCATAATAAACATTGAAATCAAAAAGTAAAAACAAAAAAGAAAGTAACTCTCATATTAAATTGAAAAGAATATAGGGGCTCTAAATTACAAAAATGGCCATAATGCTAATATTCGAAGCCTAAATACTTCTTACACTAATTGGAAATTGAAGGAATCCAAGCATCATAGCTTCTTGATGTACTAGTTTAAAATTGCTGGCTTACCTTGTCTTGTTACTATTTTTCATTGTGTTCTACTGTTAGATGAAAAACCTACTACAAAAATAAAGGTGGCCACGTGGATAGGACTCTACCAATATGAGATCTGGGGTAAGTTGAGGTACAGAGTCTTACTACAGTAAGCAGCAATTCCTAACCCTAACCCACAATAGCTTCTTTCTCCCACCCTCACCATACCCATCCAATATGAATTAATATTAACTAATAAATTTTTGACTTGCAGAATATCATGTTTTACCCACAGATCTAGCTAATCACATAAAACACTTCTGCATGATAACTTTGAAATGGCTACCTCATTGAAGTCCTGACCTCTAGGACGTCATACTCTAAACTAAGGTACTACTGAAAAAGAAATTAAGAATAGTTGCACAATTTTGTCAGCAATCCAGAAGCAGTTATTTGTTCTAAACAAAGTAGGATGATGATTCTTATCTCCAGTAACTTAAACAAAGATCCTATGCTTGAAAAGTATAAATAAATTGTTTAAGGTGTATAACCTCCTCAAATAGTTACCTGAATCCATTGCCATCAGAAGGGCGTAGACGAGATTCACTGTTAGGCCTCTGCTGAAATGGTTGTTTAATATCTCTATCACCATCTATTACTCTGTTAAGGCCAACAGAACGCTTTCGTTTATTTTTCTCCCATCCATCACCCCCTGGAGGGAGTCCACACATCTTCTCTTCTGAAGGTATTGGCCCCCCATTGCAACCTCTAAGCATAACTTTATCCTTGTCAGAAAGCACATTTTTATCCTTTTCTATAACTGCACCTTGCCTCAGAAGAACAGTCCCACGCCCTTCTGGCTGAAGCAGATAAAGGGGAAAAAGTCATTTCAGCTATAATGAACAAACTAAAAACTTCACATTTGAGTTTCAATAAAAAAAAGAAAATGGATCGCAAACAAGTAATCAATGTGCTTATTTCTAGCAACAAATCAGAGAGGCATGTAACTGGACTGATAACAAATTCTGAATAAATGTTAACAGAATAGTTGAACTTGAGGCTTAAAAGCATGCATAGATTTACTGGAGGAAGAATGATTATAGATTGTAAACATAGTTGGTTATTAACAACTAAGACAGCATTAATTTATTAAAAATCCTCAAATCACCAAAAAGTGGTACAACAGACTCCACAAGAAATGACAAAGACAAGAGCCTTATCACTCAAGATAACACCTTGGGAAGATATACAAACCCGTACTTCCGCCATAGAGGAGCGAACACGTTTATTTGGAATTACATTCTTTGCTCTGTCCTCCAGTCTTGGACTTGCAATCTCTGAAGGGCTTTGATGACTCTGACTTCCCATCTTAAGTGGATTTGAATTACCTGACTTCTCATATAACTGATCAGTTCTTTGTCGTTTCCTTGAAAGCAAGTTGCGATATTTATCCAATTTCATAATTGATTCCTGCAATGACTTCATTCTATCCCTGGTGAAAAAGAAGTTAATCATCAGCAAGCAGCCACTACAATGTCACTGTATAATTGAACCAATTCCAAGTATGTTTACTTGCATGCAGGATTTTATACACATATCCCATGTGCCAAGCAGTGACATGATTAAAATCCAGCAGATACAAAGGTTGAACAATTAATGGTTCATTCAAAGATAGATTTGTCCAGAACAGTATAAAATATAGTAACTATAAGCAAATCATGCTTTCATAGATACAGAGAAAACAATAGGCAAATGCATGAAGAAACTAACCTTGCTCTGGTTGATGACTCAAATATGCTAGCTCTGAAACGTTTAAGATCTTCTGATGCAATGGGAGGGAGCAGCTTAGACTGCACAGATCCAAAAGAGTGCTCCTCAACTGTAACACCTAGAACTCTTCTTAATTCTCCAGAGCGAGAATATTTTTGCTCGCTCATTGAGAAATGCTCTAATGAAAGATACTGCAGCAAATGTGGTATTTCTGCAGAGGAGGCTGTGTTTCTCGATGTGCTGGGCCCAGTAACCAGAATACGGCTCTCCAAGCTCTCACGGAAGCTTCCAGACCTCTCCAAACCAGAGCCTGAGTAGGTCCCACGCTGCCCATTGTGATAGGAAGCAGCAAAGTTTGGTCCATCCAGACTACTCGAAGCTGACTCTGCCCTCATACTTCCTGACATTTTCATGCTTAATCAACCATAAAAGCTCACATCCACATCTCATTCCTGCATATGGACATACATTCCTTATAAATTTCTACAACCTCAAAAGCTGATGTTGGTACATAACTGGTCTTCCACAGAATTGAAAGAATTCTTTTAATAGAAACTCTAAATGATACATCTCTTCTAATAAAAAGAGAGGCGGCAAGTGAGACAATGTTCAAGTGTGGGTTCAAAGAAGGTTCAAAGACAATGTTCAAGAAACACGGGTCATCCAGCTACGAACAACAGTGAATGCAATAGTAATTCAAAGTTCCGAACCCATAGCGAAGCACAAGAAGATGAGGAATTACGTGAATTCATCACTGAGAAACTCCACAAGAAAGAAGACGAACTGAAAGCCCAAAAGCACGACTCGAGCCACTAAAATGAAACCAAACAACTCAATTAGAAGTACAAAACTAGCATATTACAACTACAAAAAGCTCTCCAACCACCGAGTCGAACCCTAACGAGAACCAGAAAGCAATCCACTGACTTCAGCAAAGATTTCGAAGCAAAAGACACGAAGTAGCCAAGTAAATCCACCAATTCGAAAGCTCAAGCTACAGCTCACAAAGACGAGACAAGCAGGAAAGAATGAGAATCAGAAGCTGAAGCAGCTAAATCTCGACCGAAAAGGAGCAGAAGGGAAAGCGAAACCCTAATCCGCGGACGAACCTAGCGATCCAATCTCCCGCGATCCCTTGCTCCTCCGGCGATCGCAGCGCTGG